TTGAATTTGATTGAATCAAATCAAATATAAATTTGAATTTGCATTTGATTTGATTTTCAAATCAAATATTCAAATATCATTTCGAATTGCAGAATCCTAGTAGAGGTAAAGATTAAAAGAATAAGCATTTTAATATTAATATCTAATAAAATTACTTTTTTTAATATGATAAAATTAACAAAACTGAAATGACGAAACTAGTTTTTTAACTTAATTTGAATTTCTTGAATTAAAATACTTAAAAAATATAATAATTTTATATTTATTCATATAAAAATATTAAAGAGACAATGAAACTACAATTTTTTAAAAAAGAGTTTAGACAGGTATTACTAATCTTTAACTAAATATAAAAATAATGACCTTTAATTTAAAAATAATCATATAATTGAAGATTTAATAATCATAACCAGTTTGCTAGAAGAATACAAAAAGATATCAAAAAAAAACAGTATTTTTAACCTTCTTATTAGATTCTTGATTTAAAGCTTTTTGTGAACTTTAGATTAGAAAGCATAACATATTACTTTTACAAAATTAAAAGAATTAAATAACAAATACAAGAAGGAATATAATATAAATCTTAGAAACACTCCTCAAGTAGTAGCAGTTAATATTATACTTGCTAACAGTTTATTATCTAAACCTTTTGATAATTTAAATCATGAAATACCTCAGCCAGTTTTCAGGTTCAGAAGTGGATGATTACTTTCTAACTTTACATCAAATTGCATGTAAATATCTATCAATTCTGATAAATTCAATTCCCTATTTTCTGATGCTGGTTTATCACGGCAAATTGAGGAATTTTTTTTATTAGCAATATCCACCGGTTTGAGTTGTTAATATATTCACGGATCTTCCGCACAATTAGACTAGAGGTTGGGAACCGGCCTAAAAATCCTTAACTGTTAGTAAACTACAAGAGATTTTAGAGAATTCCACATTCCTTATTTTCAACCCAAGGTGTTTATTTTTTTGAGAGCGAAATGGTCTCGAAAGCAATGAAGCAAAAGTCAAGATGTTAGTGAGAAAAAAATTAATGACAGGAAGATAATATTTATTCAATATTAAACTTATTACGACTGACTTACCGGTGGCAACAGAAGGTTCTAAAATAACTGTGCATGTGTTTTTTGGTTGGTTTGACGATTAAGCAGCAGGAAAGCGTAACTTTTAGTAAATATTCGGTATTATTGGTAAATATATGACTATCAAAAAGTTAAACAAAGATATTTAGACTTTGGTCTTTGCATACCAGTTATTAATAACCCCATTAGGTATTTAAGCCTAATTTTATCGTTTGGACTGTGTCTAGGGATTCCTCTAACTCAGCTATTCAACAATATTAATGACGGTTAACTTCTTGATAGACAGTTTACTTCTGTAGGAAAAAGAGTCGAAGCCGAAGACGTTAATATTTTTTGTTTAGTATTTATAAGCGAAAAAAAAATTTATTTTCACCACCACGTGTGATTCAAAAAAAAAAAGGTACAAAAATGTCCAAATAAATTCCGTTCAAGAACTCTAGATCCAAATTTCATACAATTAAGTCCCGCAAAAACTTATATGATAAATTTTATTGATGGAATAGCCTTTTCTAAAACCTCTAATGGCTTTTATAATATAGTTCTCAGATGATTGTCTTGTAAATACAAACCTATCAATATTGCAGGAATTCGCGTAAAAATTCCTCCCCAAAAAATTTCAAGAGCAGAAAGACGTATTTGTAATTAAAAAATATTTTATAAAACACATTTACATGACATGACGATTCTAAGAACATGGTTTGTAATAACATGATAGGGGAAATACTGTACATTTAAAATTGAAAAAGTTCTTTTTTTTTTAAATTATCATTAAAAATATTTTTTATTTTTGAATTATCGTATCAACTCACTTTTTTCACTTGCTTTAAACTTATTCATTGTGCATGCATGCTTTTATGCTCAGATTTACAAAAAATTGATCCCCATTACACGAGAAAATTTTCTTCTTTGAGATAGATATTAACGAATTTATTTAAAAGAATTTTCTTTAAAATTGGGATATATATATATTTTTTCACATACACATAAATACACATTTAACTTAAAATTTATAGGATATTTTAAAGGCAATAAATATTTCATTGAACTGATTCAAACCATTCTATTTTTCAATTTCGAAAACTCATTAGGTATTTTTTTTTAGATGGAAAGAAAGGTTAGAGCGCAAATTCCAAATTCGAACAGTTCGTGAAATTTCTGAAAAAAGACACTGTGATTCAAGTCATATTATTTGTAATAAAAGATTTTCGCGGATTTAACACATTTGCCGTAAAAAAAAAAAATAAAATCCGCGCCTTTTGTTATCAAATCTATTATTTACAAATTGATTGGTTAGAGGTTCATATGTCTCACTCATGATCTATAAAATTTATAATCGGGGACTATCAACGATTCAAAAATAAAAACAACTAACGATCATTCTTATAACCATCATATCAAGCATATCCCTAGCTTTTTTTTCAACTTTAGACCTTGATGTTTATTATTGATCATTATTTTTTTACAGATTCTAAAAAAAATCATATAATACTTCGTTTTTGTTGTATATAGAGATGTTAACGTTCGATCAGTTCGGTTTCGGTTCGTCTGAGAGTAAAATTGAACCGTAGACTGATGGTTTGAATTGTATTCTAGACCGAAGTTTAAACCATTCGATATTAACAAAAAAAATACAACCACAAAATATCGCAATTATTTTATTTAACAAAAAAAAAACAAAAATACAAAAATTTTATTGTCAAAAATTGACAAAAATATATATATATATATATATATTTCGTTGCTATAAATTTTTTAATTCCCTCTTTTTTCTGAAATACAATTTTCATACAAATAATTGGCCTTTGCTGTTTCTGGATTTAGCCTATTTCTGGTTTTTGAAATAGCTAAACCTGAAATCGACATATTTGAAAATACAAAATGATCAAAGATCAATGCGTTTTTCAGTTACGCGACATCATATATTTAATCATCTAAACCGGTCTAAAAATCGGTTCGATTCGACTCGATTTCAGTTCGATCTTAATCCTCAAACCGAAGCGAAACCGGTTCTATGATCAAATTATGGTCTGAACCGTTCAATCACAGTCTTTAACATCCCTAGTTGTATAAACTCGATCAATAATAAATTTCCTCCTTGCATTTGCAGAAAAAAAGGCCACGTTTTATCTAATTAGAGTAGCATTTGATGATTAGATAGAACTTATTCTCATTTGCACTATTATTCTCTATTGTTTGTGAAAAAATTTTTAAACACGAGTACGCGAAAAAAATTCTCGTACTTTATTTTAAAAAAAAGATTGCAACTACAGTTTCATTATATTTTTTATAACTCGATCCTTAGGCCCATTACAAATTATATAAAAGGTTGTATGTCATGGTTAATGAATCCTTTTATCTTTATTCCTGAACACGAAAGAAAAAGTGGACAGGAAGTTTTCATAAAAACACGGACATATTATTCTTTTTGTTATATATCGGCATTTTGACCTTCATCGCCAGCATGTGTAACAGGCGCAGTAGCTTTTTCCCGTGATTATCAACTTCACGTGTTAAAATTCTAATCTTTGCGCAGAATATCTAACAAATTTAGCATCTTCACGAGCAGATACTCGTCCCAGAACAATTCTCTTGCGGGAACTTAGTAGAGTTATAAGGATATGTGAAATTTTTGTAGATATGGGTAGGATGGATTATTTTCGGAAATCTATGTATTATGAACAAATTAGCCGTAGAAATTTACAGCAAAGAAATAACTTGATTCTGAGACTCGGCCGTATTCCCTTCCTCTTTGATAACATCATATATTTCATTTGTGGCTCTTTACTTTAAACTTTTTGAAACACAAATAAATATTGATTTTTGTTGGAAAGAACTACATCCACCGCCAATTATGTCTGTACATGACAAACTGAATGTTTGAATTTTTTTCAGCATTTCCCACCTCATGCTTTAAGACAATTTATATTTAAATTTCAAATCACAATATTCATCAAATACTTAATATTAAATAATATTTTATTATTTATATATTGCACAATTATATGGGAGCCGTTTCCAGTAAAATCACGTTACGGATCATACAATTACTATGCCTCATGACTTGATTTTACCATTTTTTTATAGATCAAGTTTGGTTATCCCAATTTTTTATGGATAGTAATTTAAAAAATCACGTGATTGAATTAATCGGCGGTGATGTCAGAACATTGCCGACGTTCAAAGATTCATTTTTTTGTTCGAACGAAACCTTTTTGAGATTGGACAAGATGAGTGCATTAAGTAATAATAACAATGAAAGCACTTTTACATTATCTGAAAGGCTTGAGTCAAAATCAGGACATGAACTAGCAAACAACCTTGAACCTAAAGTAAATGGATCAGTTGGTTTGGTTGGATTTAACCATCCTCCAAAAATTAGTTTTGCAATATCAAAACCACCAGAACATGTAAAATTAGGAGACGACGATGCGGAAAATCTACAAAAAATCGCAACACAAAAGTCTAGTACTAGTATTGAATCGATTGTTGCTATAAAAACCGAACCAACCGAAACTAATACTTTGGAAGCAAATAATACTAACAATAATGTTGGAAGTACAGGGGAAAATAAAAAAAAGCGAAAGAGAAGTCGCTGGGATCAGGCTGGTACTACGACGGTACAAGAAACACCCGCACCCTCAATTGATTTAAAATCAATTCAAAGTGCAAATGCAGGAGGTGCTGGTCATACTTCCTCTTCTTCCTCTTCCTATTCTCTGGTTAGATCCAGCACCAGCACCACCAGTACCAGTACGAGTTCCAGTTCCACAACAGCAGCAACTTCAGTGAATCCTACACCCTCACAACAAAGTTATACCTTTTCAGATAAAAGGAAATTTGTTAAATATTCGGATACTTATAAATCTGGTATGGTTCGTATCGGATCCAAGTGGGTTTACCCAGAAGATGAAATTACAGATGGTGGTACTTGGGAGCATAAAAAAAGAGCAGAAGAAATGAAAAAGACAGCGGGTAAGATTAAGATATCAATTGAGGGAAGAATTAAGTTGATTATCTAAACATTTTAAAGCAAATTATTAATAAATTCGCAAAAAAAGAACAAGCGGCTTTGTTAACTTCTCATGCTGAAGCTAAACGTGCACACCATATCGCTGACTTTTTGCCCAAGGAGGAATTGGAGAAATTTGAACAAAAAGTTAAAGCAATCAAAACTGGTGGCACAACTCCAACATATGAAGACTATGCTAGTAACAAGTTGGATCAGTCAAACATTGGATTTAAAATGTTGATGAAACAAGGCTGGCAAGCAGGATCCGGTTTAGGAAAATCTGGGGAGGGTATTTCAGCTCCTATAAATAAGTATGAACGTATAATCTCATTTCAAAATCACTCGAATTTACACATAACAACTAATTTTGTTTTAGAGCTGATTCACGACCAGCAAATGCTGGATTAGGACAAACTAAGCCTGAAGGGGTAGATGAAGAGGATGATGAATTTGAGATTTATCGCAAGCGAATGATGTTAGCATACAGATTTAGACCAAATCCTCTGGTATGTGAAAAATTTTTACTTCTATTCAATGAGATAATATAAATTCGAAATGGTACAATCTTCGCGTGTATATTTGAAAGATTTGTTGATTAAATTTTGAGATATTCGCGTTTTTTTTTTTACATTTTATATATATATATGATATATATAGTATTATATTTGCATACGTTTTGTGCACTACTAACGGTTTGCCCTTCCTAGAACAATCCTCGTCGACCATATTATTGAAAACAGATAAAACACCTTTAGGAACTTCTTTTTTACTTCCCATTCTCTTCTTTTTGTTTACATTGTCGACTTGCTCCTTTACATTTCCAAATCCTCAATAATTTTTTTTTTCCTTTTATCCTTGTTCATATTCATGTTCGTGTTATAATATATTTGTTGATAATTCATTATACATAAATTAGCATTTATTAATTATTTAGATTTCTTTAATAAAAATTGAACTTTTTTCTTTCTCCTTTTTTTTTTTTTTTTTTTTTTTTGTTTTATTGCATCTTTTCATTATTAACTGAACAAATTTTGTCGTTATTTACTTCTTTTCATCAGATATGTTTGAAGAATGAAAAATATTGTTCTTTGAATGACGAATTATTTTATTTTAATTTAATAAATGTAATATATTATTAATATTTGAATACAAGACAAACATGATCATCACTAGCAGTAACAATTTTTTTACCATCCCTATTAAAATAAATATGATAAATTATAAAATAATTGTCATAAACATGAAAATTAATAACAACATACCTTGACATAGCAAATCCAAGAATAGCATCTTGATGACCATGAAAAGTTGTTTCGCATTTACCAGTTCTACTATCCCATACACGTACAGTTCTATCAGCAGAGCAAGTAGTTATCAGAGGAGATTCCTTATGCCATTGTAATTTAATTATAGCATCCTAAAACGTTTTTACAAATTTTAATTTTGCATGTACAAAAGAACTTCAATATGCGCGAAGTAATTACTTACATCGTGATTACATGTTTGACGTAATCGCATTGTTTTAACATCCCAAATATTTAATTTGCCGTCTATCGAACCTGTTGCTACTAATGGTAGACTAAAAAAATAATAAATAAATAAATAAATAATGTTTCCTTTTAAAAAATAAAAAAATAAAAATAAAAAGACTTACATATCTGAGAATCCAACGGTCTCAACAGATTCTGTATGATTTTCAAATGATCCAATGATCTATTAAATAAAAATTATGGCAATTTTTTTTTTAATAATTCTGAGCTGAGCGTTTATTTCTATAAATCGCGTTGAATAAAAATATTTTTTTTTAAAAAAAAAATTTACTAAATAGAGAAGATACTTACATTTCCATTTGTTAAATTAACGAGTTTAGCAGTAGTATCAGTAGATCCAGTTATCGCTAATGTGCTTTCTCGATTAATAGCTATACACGTTATACCTTCTCTATGAAATCTTGCATCTTCACCTGAATTATAAAGATTTTTAAAACGAAGTACAATATATATTTTTTGTATTGTATTTAATATTTAAAACTACAACATTTATTACAATTTTTTTTTTTTTAAGAGGATTAGATAAAAAAATTACCTGATATTTTAAGAGTCGAAATGGCAGTTTTTGGATCCCATACTATTAATGAATTATCCTCTGAACCTGACACAATTCTTTTACCATCAGGTGTAAATTGTCCTGTTGTAACTATTGATGAATGACCTGCAAATACATTCATACAATTTCCAGAAGGTACTAAAGATTTTTTTTTGTAAAAAAGAAAAATTTACATAAATTCAACAGAAAATGTTAAAATAAAACTAAAAGAAAACTTACTCTGCCACATCCATATTGTACCATCATTTGCTCCCGCCAATAAAATGTTTCCTTTTGGATGCCAATCTAACCACTATTTGAAATCAATAAAATATATATCATTATTTTAATTAAAAAAAGGTATTTTTCATTAAGTAAAGTATTCTTTCACTTACAGTAATTTCATCAGAACCTTCTAATGATAAAATTAATTGTCCATTTTCAACTTTCCATACTTTAACTTTACCATCCATACCACCACTTGCTATATATTGACCATCTTTACTAAATAATGTATTTGTTACTGAATCAGTATGACCTATATATTTTATATTTAAAATATTGAAAAATAAAGTAAACTAAGTAAATATATTAATAAAAACAAACTGTATATAAAAAGGAGTGCGACATTTGCTGAGTGGGCCAGTACATATATTAAAGCAGGAAAAAAAAATCTTAATAACCTGATAATTCAAATAATTGTTCTCCTGTATCACATCTCCATAAAAAACTTTTATCATCTCCACCACCAGATATAATTATATCTTCATTAATGGGATTTATATCAATAGCATAAACAGAATCTTTTGAAATAAGATTTATTAAATTTAGTATATTTAACATGTTGGGAAAAAAGTGGAAATGATGTAATGTACATTTTTACCTTTATGATTGAAAAATCCTTGTACGGAATCATCTTTGATTTCAATCATTTCACTCTGTTCTTCATTGTCTTCAATTAAAAAAACAAAATTATTTTTATTTTAAAAAATTAAAATCAAATCGAATATCAATGTCGAATAGAATAAAACATCGAATTCGAAAAAATTTAACATTACTCCAAATATGCTATACCTTCTTCCATAGGACTTCCAACTTCTTCAATAAATGGTTCTTCTTCAAACAATGGCACTTCCTTAAACAATGGCACTTCTTTAAACAACGGTTCTTCTTTAAACAACGGTTCTTCTTCAAACATTGGTTCGATAATTTGTTGTTCTAATATATGCTCTTCAAAAATTTCTTCTGGTTCAATGAATGCTTGTGAATATGATTCCTTTATTATATTAAAAAAAAGAAAAACAATTAGCAAAAAATTTCAATGATCAATTATGTTTAATAATAATACATACTTGATTCGCCATTTTATTAAATAAAAAAATATATATGTTCGTATTTTATCAAATTTTTCACGGACCATTTTATATAATTTTTATTTGTAATCACATCTCTGATTTTCTTGCATGTTGTCACATATAACTGACCAATCAAATCTAACGGGCTTTTCCTTCAATGTCATTCAATTTTATGTTTCAAAATCTTAAAAATTTACTATTAGTTAAGTCCGGAAATAAGTGAACCGAAAAAGATGACTCCAATTTTTATGCATGGATAATAAAATTTTAATATAAATTTCACAATTCTAAAAAAGTTTAACATCCTTATTAATGGTTTTAGTTTCAATATATTCCTTTTTAAAATCATTAAACTTAATATTAACGTTAATATTCTTTTTAATCATCCAACAAATAATTCAAACATATTTTTGCAAATAATAGCTATACCTTTACATTAGAGCCCACGGGTTCGTGCGATGCAAAAGTAAAAATGCAAAATATGCGAAAAAATTTTTTATATAGTAAAAAAGATGAAATTTCAATTTTATTGATTATTATAATATAAAAAGTTCAACATTTCAATAGAATTCTCTGAGTCTATCATCCAAAATTTTTTATAATTGGAAAAACTGCGTTCAACATCAACTCCTGAAATAGGTAACCATATATAAATTAAAGCTATTTTTGAT